AAATTCTTACAGCTTTTCACAACTCTCCTCAGAGTTTCTCGCTCAGATTTTCCTTGGAACTTCAGTAAATCTGTCACTTCCGTTATGTTTTGCGGCAGTGCACTCCTCTAACTAAAAAAACACTGGCAGGACAGTAAATCTTCGCATAAAAAATATGAAATGCATCAATGAAAAATATGAAATGTTACATAAAAATCAACGATGTTTATGTATGGAACATTTATGGAGCATTTCAACTTAAGGTGAAAGTGGATTGGTTTAAAATGACTCGCTTCATCGATTTTTTAAAAAATAACGCAGCGGTCAATCGAAAAAACTCTTCCGTGCAAAATTAAAGAACTAAAATTGCTATCTCTAGCAATTTTTACAAGATTGATTTATTGTTTAAATTTTCTGTAAACCATTTTCTAAGTTCAATTTTAGGACCACAATCATAGTGGTCGCTAACTTTGCTCATCAATTACACAAGTGTTTCGTATGAAGGGTCATATTTCATCCCGTAGATCGTTTTAAAATATTGTTAAGAACATTTACTCCGAAAACAATAAACCTGTAAAATACATTATTTCAATGCAAACCATTTTTTTTGTAACGCAATGCCAAGCATTAGATTTCGTTTTCCTAAGCAATCAACTGGCTTTTGCATGCATCTGTGCGTAAGCATGCTCCAGGTTGAAGAACAATGTGATTTGGATCCCTCGCACAAAACAGAGAAGCGAAAAGCCACATGCCAGGGCGATCCATGAATGAATTATCAAGAAAAACCATATTGGTATTTCAATTCGAAATATTTTGCGAAAATTATCGATAATTGAAAACGGATGCTATTCGGCAATGTCATCTATGCGTTATCAACGGCGCCGGTGGTGTAGTGGTAAGCGTGATTACCTCTCACCCCAGCAGGCCTGGGTTCAATCCCAGTCGGCGCCGCCGGGATGTTTTAAGGCATAACATCTCTGATCACGCCTTCCTTCGGAAGGGAAGTAAACCCGTTGGTCCCCGGTTCATGAGTTGATGGGTCGATAGGTAGGATCCAGGTGTGGGAGCTGCCTTCCTGGCACGTCGGTAGTATTGATGCTCAGCACGGAAAACAAGATCGACGGAAAAAAAAATCTATGCGTTATCGCAAGAAATTATGAAAGGGCTTGAAAATAAATAGTAAAACTATTTCTAAATTGAGAGTATTTCTAAGTCGTGTTGGAAACGCGTGTATTTATGAAATAATAAAAACAATTCAAGTCTGTGTATGTGTAAGCTAATTGAAGAATACTTTGTGAATGTTTCAGCCTATTTGATGGATATATGTGGATATTTTTTAAGATAAATGGACCTATTTTAGAAATTACCCACCTTTGCCATTGCTAAATGAAATATTTTTCAAATCAAAGGTTCCTCAATTTTCACATGTTGTTTCACAAGTATTTGAGGATATTCTGCAAAAATTTCAGCCTATTTGATGAAGATATTCTATCATATCTTGGTACTTTTAAAGATAATTAGATAATTCCACGAACTTCAGCATAACTTCCCTGAACTTCGGCAGATCTTCCCTGAACTTCAACAGAACTTCTCTGAATTTCCGCAGATCTTCCCTGAACTTCGGCAGATCTTCCCTGAACTTCGGCATGAGTTCCCTGAACTTCCAAGAATTGAAATGAAAGGACTTCCCTGAACTTCGGCAGAACTTCCCTGAACTTCGGCAGATCTTCCCTGAACTTCGGCATGAGTTCCCTGAACTTCCAAGAATTGAAATGAAAGGACTTCCCTGAACTTCGGCAGAACTTTCCTGAACTTCGGCAGATCTTCCCTGAACTTCGGCATGAGTTCCCTGAACTTCCAAGAATTGAAATGAAAGGACTTCCCTGAACTTCGGCAGAACTTCCCTGAACTTCGACAGAACTTCTCTGAACTTCGGCAGGAGTTCTCTGAACATTGGTAGGACTTCCCTATAGTTCGGAAAAACTTCCCTGGACATCGTCAGAACTTCCCTGAACTTCAACAGAACTTCTCTGAATTTCCGCAGATCTTCCCTGAACTTCAGCAAGACTTCCCTGAACTTCGGCAAGGCTTCCCTGAACTTCAGAAGGACTTTCCTGGGCTTCGGCAGGACTTTCGGCAGGGCTTCTCTGAACTTCATCAGGACTTCGCTGAAGTTCAGCAGGTCTTCCCTGAACTACGGCAAGACTTCCCGGAGCATTAGTAGGACTACTCTACTTGGAATCTTGGAATTGAAGTTGTCATTCCAGTAGTAGAATTATTATATTGTGTTTACGAATATGTTCAAAATTTCAATACTTCCCATTTTTCTAATTTGCAATGCTTGTTGGTATTGATGCATTTCGAATTTGGGTGTGGATTGAAAGGGTGTGGATTCAGTATCAACGGAAAAGCATAAACTTTCACCTTAAGTATTGGCACATCTGCCTGTTCTTTGATGAGGTAGTTTTATAAATTTTATTGAACTTAGTGATAAAAATCGGCATAAGAATATTTTCCCCAAAATAGATCATGAAGGAAGTGGCGTTTGGGGTTTTAGCTTCAATGTTCTGAGAATGCATACTATTTAATTGTCCGTAGCTCAGGGTGGCCAGTGAATTTTCATTTTATAATTCCAGGTTTTCCCGCTTCAAAATATTCCCGGTTTTTAATATTAAGTAAAAAAATTATGATTGCAATATCACCACCGACAATCCGACATGAATGACCACAGCAAAAACAATAAAATTTCTGACCAAAGCACACCACTGACATCTGACTCCGTGTTCGCGGGAAATATTTATCTAAGCCATAAACCCGCATGCAAAAGTTATGAATTGTTTCGTGTCTGATCTATTCTGGACAAATTATTTTTATCTAGATCAAAGAATCCTGTGGTTTTGACAGTTCGGATAACTGCACATTTAAATCGGCCGTTTACGATTTTCGGGGATAAGTCAGAACTAAGTGTCATGTCGGTTTGTCGGTGATATCACATTATTTTCGAGGTACATAGAATCAATTTGAATTAATTTTTTGGACTCGAGTCCTCTTAAGATTGTAAAATACTAGAATTTACAAAGTACCAGAATTATGGATTTGTAAGGTCGCATAGCCGAACGCTATCGGGCTGAATGGGTCATTATACCGAATTTCAGATGGACAGATAAAACTAAGAAATTGTTTTAAAAAATCTTGAGCTCGATACGGCTCAAGACATTTTTGTAAAGTATCGTTAACTGTATGTAATCTTTATAACAATTTTAATTTCTAAGATTCTGAGGATTTGACATGGGCTTATAGAGTCTTAGAATTATGAAAATCTATCCTACATTAAGAAGTAGAAACAGGATTGGATTTTTTTTCCAACAATATGAATCTGAGAAAAATACTAAAAATGTGGGATTTTGAAAATGTTTCTAGATCCCTGATTTAGAATTTTTTTTTGAGATTCCGGATTTGGAAAAATACAGTCCCTGGAAAATTTTGTTCGATTCGAAAAATGTTTAGGTTCAGGGTTCTAATAAATTGAAGAACTTTTTATAGAATCTTGAAAATTCAAGATTCTGAGAAGATCTCGAAGAAAAATTCAACGGAACTCTGACAAGAATCCCAAACTAATTCTACGATTAAGTCCTGACGAACTCTTAGAAGAATTACAAGGGAGTTGTGAGGAGAACTCCAAGGAAAGTTCCTAGTTAATTCTGAAGAGAATTGTATGCGGATTGTGTGGAGAGTTTTAAGGAGAATTCAAAAAAATATGTAAAGAAAACTTCAAGAAAATTCAACACAGAATTCCAAGGTATTCTGAGGAGAATTCCAAAGTATTTCTGTGAGGAGAGTTTTGCGAAAGAATAAATAAATTCAGAGGTTTAAGGTGATTAAGAGCTGAACAAACCATTTTTAAGTAGAAGAAACGAATGTTTGGTTGATTAAGTTCAAGCTGTTATTCAACTTATAATTTTTGTTGCAATATGTTAAGGTTTATTGATTTTTTCCCGGTTCTTCCGTCAAATTCCCGGCTTTTCCCGGTTTCCACGGTTTTTCCCGATTCGCTGGCCACTAATAGCTATAGGAAACCTACTTTTAAACATTTGAGAACAATTAATTGAACTATACGGGATGTGTTTTTCTAATAAAACATCCACCTTTCGAGCTTGTTTGCTAAGCTAGCCCTGAATACATACTCAACTTAAAGGCGAGGTATGGTAGAAGATGGCTACGAATTGAAATAATATCATGATAAAATGAAACAATTGACCGGTAGCGTTATGATGACTATACGTACAGTTCAAAAGATTAGATATAGTTCTAATCGATGAGTCTTAGGCCTTATTGCAGTAACCAGACACACATACAGGGTGTTTCGGAGTAACTGTCACTTTACAAAATGGTCATAACGATTGAACGCTTGATTTTTTGATATCAGTATATTTCAGACATACTACATAAATAACCTTTAACTTAACATAGTTAAATTCATATCCCTCCCCCTTAAATGAATCACACGTTTTAGTTCCAGCACCTTGTACCTCGATAATGCTGCAAAAAACAAATGTTTCATTCACTCGAAGAGATTGCAACGTCTAAAAGATGCGTCTGGCTGAAAATTATTATTATTATTTAACTTTATTAAGGAGGCTTTCAGCCTTGGGCTGGTTCGCCTCCACTCTGGCTGAAAATCTCCTTAATAAAGACAACCAACCAACCGTCTAAAAGATAACACACGAATTTATCCAGATGTATAACATCCTCCATTGTCACGTCCATGGCTGCTTGAGATCGAAAACGAATGAAATTTCTAATCCTACTATTAATACAAGCGGACTTTAGTACACAGTTTAAAACAATATGTACTTGAACATATATTTATTTAACCCATTGAGAATTGCATACATGTGAAATCGGTGGCAGTTACTTCGAATCACCTTGTATAGATTACATGTGAAATCTTAAAACTCATCCTCAGTTCCCATACACACATATAATTGCTTGCTTGTCCGCATCGCTCTATAATTATCATCAAAAATCCTCAGTATCACAACTGGTTTCACGCACAGCAGTACTGTTAGCAAGCAAAATGGTTTTCCAAGTAAGAATTCTAATATTGCTTGGAACAGTACTGTCTGCAACCACTGCCTACAGAATTCTCAGCATAAATGTCAGCCCAAGTCGATCTCATATAATAGTGCAGGAAGCGCTGGTCCAGGAACTGGCTCGTCGCGGTCACCATGTTACGATGGTTAGTCCATATCCATTACAAAAACCGTTGGAGAACTATCGTCAAATTACCGTCCCCATGCCAGACTGGGGCAAAGGTAAGTGAATTTTTTGTTTGCACTAACTTTGAACAATTAACGACACGGACCGCTCGCTTAGCGCAGATGCCATGCAAAATCTCATGAAGGATCAATCACAATTGGCTATGATAAAGAATTTTCCAAAAATGAACTGGATGGCATTGGATGCAGCAAACAATACTATCAACCATCCGGAAGTGCAACGAATAATCAAGGAAGAAAAATTTGATCTATTGGTTGTCGGACTGATGGCCGATTTCTTGTTAGGGGTAGCAAATTGGTTGGGAACCCCTACCGTAGTTGTTCATCCAAACGTTGCCATGGAAGTCGTTAACAGTATGGTTGGAAATCCTAGTCCAATAGCAACTGTGCCAAACAGTATGCGGGGAATGCCAAGCCCAATGAGTTTCACCGACAGGTTAAAGAATTCACTCATTTGGATCTTAGAAGGGTCATTCGGATGGTACATGATGAAAACATCAGAGCAATTTTACAAGTAAGATCCTATGGTAACGTTTTGATACTTATCTTATCATTCCACATTCATTTTTCAGCTCCAATTTCCCTCGTGATCAGTTCCCATCGTATGATGAGGTTCGCAGAAACGTGTCACTGGTATTGGTGAATCAGCATTTTACGAAAACCTCACCTCGTCCATATGTTCAAGCAATGGTGGAAGTTGGTGGATTGCAGATCAAACAAACGCCAGATCCGCTGCCAGAGGATATTCAGAAATGGGTGGATGACGCTCATGACGGCTTTATCTTGTTCAGTTTAGGTACCAATCTGTTGAGTTCCACTATTCCTAAGGAAAAACTCGATGCGCTGATAAGCACATTCTCAAAAATTAAACAACGGGTTATTTGGAAGTGGGATACTGAAGACATGCCAAATAAACCGGCAAATGTGCTACTGCGAAAGTGGCTTCCACAGAACGACATTCTAGCACATAAGAATTGTCGCCTGTTTGTGACGCACGGTGGCCTGGGAGGAGTAGCGGAAGCCCAGTTCCATGCCGTTCCACTGGTGGGAATCCCATTCTTCGGCGATCAACAGGCCAACGTGATTAAGGTGGATAATGAAGGATGGGCAATTACCGTGCACTTCTCCGAGCTTACAGAAGCCTCATTTTCAGAAGCTATCAATGAAGTTTTGAACAATGCAAGCTACACTGAAACAGTTAAGCAGCTCTCCGATCTGTATCGGGACAGACCACAGTCTGCTATGGATACGGCAGTATTCTGGACAGAGTATGTAATTCGGCACAAAGGTGCTCGTCACATGAGATATCCGGGAGCTGATCTAAATTTTTTCCAATCACATCTGCTAGACGTGATCGCTGTTCTTTGTGTTGGTGTATTTGTGTTAGTTAAAGTCATTATCATTGTCTGTAGAATGATGTGCGGAAAAAGACCAAAGTCTAAATTGAAAAGGTACTGAGCCACTTTATAGAAATAATTCAAACCATGTTTTAATATATTTCACCTCTCAACACTTAAAAAATACAGCATTCTGATTTTAACTATTCGTCCCGTCTTTGATTAACTTGTGCTCCGTATTTTAAAATCTACATACATTTAAAAAATCATGGAATTCACGATCAGAAAATCCTTTTGATTCTTTGTTAAAACCTTACGTACCTTACGTCTTCTTACTCCAAATGTTCGCATGACGCACAGTGCACTGTGGTCCAGCTAAATTCCCACTCCCATTCCCATTGAATGTATGGTAATACCGGACAAAAATCAAAACTGAAGGATTAGTGATGATGAAAGAGGACTATTAATTGCATAAATGATATATGCTGGAATAAGTAATCGCAAAAGTGTCTCAAATGCCATTCTATGGAAAATAACGCAATTTGATGCTATTTTCAAGAAAGTTGTTCATGGCGATGAGGATGGCTATTTACATAACATACACATCTTATACGTAATCACTAATGTATGTATTATAAGCGCCAACATGTTAAAAAATACACGAAATAACAATATTTTTTTTTATTTTGACGTTTAACTTCTTTTTTGTAAAACACACTGGGGTAAAAATCAAAAAAATGTGTGACGATATACTGTCAGATATTTGGCGCTTATAACTTGACCATTTAAGGATGCATTTCAATTCTTTGAACACCATTTGATTCAAATTTTATTTAAGATTCGATTGGTGTTATCAACATAGTAGATTATTATAATTAACATATTCAAAATTGATTAAATTTTTTGGTTGTAATCAACCAATCAACTGCTTCCATGACTATTGAGAGAACAGAGGGAGACGAGCCGACAGGAGGATATAAAAGAGCGTTCCTACACGTTTTGTTTCAGTAAACAAACCAATCCCACTAAAGGGCTGAACACAATAATTACAGCGGCATAGCGGTATTGCGGCACAGTGACAAACACGAAATGCACTAAAATCGCGCTAACCCTTAAGCGCTGCCGCTTTTCATTCAAGTTTATTTATTTATTTTTTCCTTTATTAGAGAGATTTTTAGCCTAAGGCTAGTTCATCTCTTTTAAAAATTACAAAAAAGAATTGGGACCTCAAAAGGAGGATCCCAATCTTGGCAAGTGGGCATTTAGCTTAATTATATAAAATATTGTAAAAACACTACCAAAAGGGCCAACGAATTCAAAAGCACAAACAGAAAACACTCAAATGTTGTAAAAAAGATTCGCCTCCTTCAGGAAGGCGATGAGGGCGTCTGCTTCCGGGGACTCGTCGCCAAGCAGACTTCGTATGCTGGTTCCCTCCAGGCAACCCGAAGGTCCTCGAGCTCCACACAGTTGATGAGGATGTGTTCTACGGAGGCTGGCACTCCGCAGGTTTCGCAGGTTCTCCGGAACGGTGTTCCTCCGAAATTATGGGAGGCCCTGCTATGCCCGGTGCGCAGCCTGGACACCACTTGCTGCTCCTTGAGGCTCGGTCGATCCTTCTAGGGATCGGTGGTCGCCTTGATTTTTCGTAGTTGGTGAGTTCGATTGTTCCTCCACTCGTTGTCCCACGCTCTCCGAACCGTCCGCTTGATCCATTTCTTGATGTCCTGGAACGGAACATTGTCAGAGAACCTGGGTCCGATGGGGCCTGAGCCGGCGAGGTGGTCGGCGATCACGTTCCCCTGGATGCCACAGTGCCCGGGTACCCACATGTATACGGTGTTGGGCGGCGCATGCGTTACCTAACCGTCATCGGTTAGGGCCATTATTGCGCTTTGTGAGTCGGTAACGATAAGGATCGGCCGATTGGCCGGAAGGGTGGTTGCGTGAAAGACGGCCGCTGCCTCAGCGGAAAACACCGAGCACTGGGCCGGAAGTGAATTGCTGACGACCAAACTATCTCCTGAAACCCCCATTCCCACTCCGCTGCTGGAGAGCGAGCCATCGGTGTACCTGATTTCGTGATCTTGATAGTGCGCCCCGAGAGTTTCGACGACTGTCCGGCGCAAAGCCAGTGAGTTGTCTCCTGCCCTGATGCGGTCCTTGATTCGGCTGTCGATTCTGATCTGATGTGATTGCCAACTTTTGTCTCCGTGCCAGTGGACCCTGGCCACTGGAGGGAGATCTACGTCGGCGACCGTGCGGAGGAGTCGGTTCGCCTCGTCGAGGAGAAAGATCCTGCTGTTTCCCGACGTTTTAGCGAGGAAGGCAGCGGCTTTGGTAGCGGTAGCTGCGGTGTAGACGAGCCGAAAAGGCAGAATACCGGCTTCAACGCACGCGGCGTCGGCCAAGGTGGAGGGCAGGAGACCGGAGACTGTTCTTACGTATCCGTTGTAGACCGGTTCCAAGATTTGGATGGCTTTCTCGGCGGCAAGGCACGTTAGTTCTACGCCATACAATAGGCGACTGTCGATGATGGCTCGGAAGCGGATTTCACGGTTGTTGGATCGGTGGGGGCGGGAGATGGTCTTCATCAGGTTGGATCTACTACGACAATCCTTCTTCACCTGTTGGAAGTGCGGCTCGAGGGATAGGTTCCGATCGAGGAGCACTCCCAGGACCCTTATTGTGTTTTTGGTCGGTATCGCTTGCTGTTTGATCATGATGGGCTGTCCGTTGTTCCGATGCCGGGTGGTGCATATATGGCAGCGCACGCTCTTGCCGGCGGAAAGCTGGAACCCAACGGAGTCAGCCCATCTGACCACCGAGGAGACTGCCGCTTGCGCCCTTAATTTCGTCCTCTGCAGGGTGGGGCCCACCGTTACAATGAGGACGTCATCCGCGTAGACGAAGATATATATTTTCTTGGGTAGCTTGTCGAAGACCCCGTTCATGGCCACCAGGAAGAGGGTGACCGCGATCACCGAACCCTGTGGTACTCCGGTTTCTTCGCTGAACCTTCTGGATTGGACGTTTCCGACCGACACCCGAAAAGATCGGTCGGTCAGAAAGTTTCGGACGAAGTGTAGGATGCGTCCTTTTAGTCCCCATTCGGCTAACTTCTTCATTACTGCTGGTGTCCACGTTCTGTTGAATGCTTTGGAGATGTCCAGCGAGACGATCTCCGTATGATGGCCTTGGTCCTGTGCCTCCTTCAGGACTTCTCCAAGAGTGGCGAAGTAGGTGGAGGTACCGTACCCTTGCCTGAAGGCGTGCTGTCGATGGTCAAGCAGTCCCTTAGACTCCAGGTATTGCTTGAGCCTTCTGTTGACCATCCGCTCCAAGACTTTGGCCATGCAGCAGGTCAGCGCGATGGGGCGGAATCCTGTGACGTCCTTGGTCCCTATATTTGTTTTGGGGATCGGGATCACGAGACTTTCCCTCCATTTGTCCGGGTATTCTTCGTTGGTCCATAGCTGGTTGTAGGTTTTTCCAGGCTTCAGAAAAAAATCCCGAATATGAAAAAAGTGAAGATCGGATTTACTCAGTCTAGACTGAGTAAAATTTTAACAATTGTCCTCGTTTTCTGGCAGATTTTTCAGGTTTTCCACAGAAAAAAACATGAAGCGATGAGTAAACGCTGAGTTCCTGCACTTTTGGCGATTATGAGTAAACTAAACACAAATTTGGGTCATGCTCATTCGCCGTGTGCTTTTATTTACAATAGAATCACAACAAACAAATTAATTTTACATTATTATCTTGATTATTTCAGCCAGAGTGGATCAGTCTGTTTCTGTTTCATCTGACCTCGAAACACAGCAACAATAATTTGTTCAATCAGCGAGTCCAATGTGTCCGGGTTTTTTTTTCAATCTCTATTTAAGAGATAATCGCTGATCTAGCTTGCATCTTAAAAGAATGCTAACAAGACGTCATTGATTTTTTTTATCGGTCCGAGATCTTCAGAATAATACTTGATCTACTTGAAGGCATCTTATTCGAGAGTCGTGTCTTGTACTTTCAATCAGTTGGAGATCTTCAAATTAGCTAATCGTCATGAAGTCATACGGTTATTTAAATAATCTCTGATTCAGCTGACATAGCGATGAAATATGTATGGGACTATCTGATTGAAAAGTTGATCAGTAGAAGGTCTTCTGAATAATTAATCCATCTGAATTCTCGTAAAAATATCCAAGGGGCTTTGAAATTCTCCAAAGTTCAGTGATCGTTTCTGAATTTGCTTTAACTTCAAAGAATTTGCGAGCACTTTGAAGAGCTACCATGAACCGTGAGCAAACATCGAGAGCTTCGGAGAAGAGTTATGAATATCAGGAAAACTGCGGGAGCTTAAGGAAAGTTCCGTGAATTTTAGGAAAGTCCAAAGAACTCAAATTTATTGAGAAGTTCAAAGAACTGCTGGCGAGTAAAGATATCTTTAGGGAAGTCCCGACAATCGGGAAAGTTTAAAGATCTTCAAGATAATATTCAGACAAATTCGTACATTTCAGGAAAATGTTGAAAACTTCATCGTAGTTCTAGAGTAGCTTTTAAAAGAACTTCAGCGTAGTTCTGACGAGAACTGAGTTCTGAGGAGAACTTCAGAGTAGTTCTGAGGAGAAGTTCAAGGTAATTCTGAGGAGAACATCAAAGTAGTTCTGATGAGAACTTCAGAGTAATTTTCAGGAAAATTTCAGAGAAGTTCTGAGGAGAATTTCAGAATATTTCTGAGGAGACCTTCAGAGTAGTTCTGAGGAGAACTTCAGAGTAGTTCTGAAGAGAATTCCCGAGAACTCCAGAAAAGTTCCATTGACCTCATACAGATTTCGGGAAACTCCCTGGGAGCACCTGGAGCGTGGTCCTGAGTACTTAATATGGCCACCAATTTTCTTATTTTTGAATTCTCATGTAGTTTGATGTGTCACATGAGGATGTAGGATCAAGTTTCACTTCTCCGTGGGTATCCGGAACATATCTGGATCTGGCCATCGTGAAACTGCCATATTTTGCCACATATAGAGAGAACAGTTCACAAACTACTCGATAGTAGAAGAAAATATCACTTCAAATTATCAAACACGTTTCTTCTTACATGGCGTATTTCCAACTTTCAACTCT